CCCTCCCCTCCAGCACATGATTCCTCGGAGGACAGTTGTTATCTGGGAAAAAAAAATTGGGGTTCTGTTAGGAAGAGAGCATGCCAAAAGTGAAGTTCGGTAGGCTGCAGCATCTGCTACAGAAGGAAGAAAGAAAGCTGTCTTTATTAGGACCATCATATACAAGATACTTAGCTGTTCTACACTCCTAAGAGTGACTATGGTTGAGGATAATTTCTTATCAAATGATAATATTAACAAACATGTATTTACTCTGTGCCAGGCACTGTTTTAAGTGCTGACTCATTTAAAATTCACATCAACCTTATGAGGTGGTACCATCATCATTCACATGCTATGGGGAGGGAAACCTCAATGGAGAGGTTGAGTAATTTGCCTAAGGTCACACAGTGAGTAACTGAAGGAGTTGGATTTGAACCCAGCAGTCTGATTCCCCTTAAGTGCTCTGACACATTGCTGCTCTACTGGAATTGCCAGCTTCACGTGATGCTGGTATCTGGCAGGGGGCAAGGTACAGGAGAAAAGTAAAACCTTGTCCTATGAAGACCTCCCTGTGCAGTGAATTCTCCAACAAGACAAAGGCGTCAACATTCTGGGTTTAATGAGTTTAAAGGTCACTTTCTCTCTTTCTCTCTCTCTTTTTAAAAAAAGGTTTATTTATTTATTTGAGAGAGAGATCGAGCAGGGGAGGGCAGAGGGAGAGGGAGGAGAGAAGCAACTCCCCGCTGAGTGCCCAGCCTGATGTGGGGCTGGATCTCAGGACCCTGAAATCAGGACCTGAGCTGAAATCAAGAGTCAGAGGCTTACTCCACAGAGCCACCCAGGCACCCCGTCATTCTTTCTTTTGTAAAGTGTAATAACTATTATTTGTCATTTACAGCTGCTGAGTTTAATCTGTGATTAAAAGAGAGAGCTCAAAATTAGAAAAAAGATGGAAGATCAGGGGGAAGAGAAGATCAAAATGGGAGGATGAGAGAGTATAAAAATTAAGGCAAATTAAAAGCTAAGGATGTGGGAATCAAAACTTTGAATGAATAGCATTGTAAATGAGAAGTTTCTAAAATTCATACTTGAAGTAGCATATGTTAAATAGAAAATAAAAGAAAGAGTAAAGAACTAGAAAATAAAAAAAAATAAATCTAAAAGATTAAGAATAACATGTTGATAGATCTGATAAAATAAAATGAACAGTTAGAAGTATTCAAAAAGACGAGATTTTAAATAGGAACTAGAAGGTAAAGAGAAATTAAGGTAAAGGCTAAGAGCTCTGAGGCTAAAAGTGGGAAGGATCTAGAAGGATTTATATTTATTTATTTTTATTATCATTTTTCTTAAAACACTTTTTAAAAAGATTTATTTATTTATTTGTCAGAAAGAGAGAGAGAGAGAGAGCACAAGCAGGGGTAGCTGCATGCGAAGGGAGAAGCAGGCTCCCCACTGAGCACTGAGCCCAATGCGGGACTCTATTCCAGGACCCCAGGATCACGACCCGAGCTGAAGGCAGGCACTTGACTGACTGAGCTACCCGGGTGTCCCAAGGATTTATATTTAAAAAGCTAAGAGAAAAATAATACCCATAGAGTGAAAAAAATGTATTTTTTTAAAGCTACGTTTAAAGTGAGACAAGAACAAAAACAGACACTAATCAGACAAGGACTACAAGTGGGAAATAGTGGTCTGGGTGGGGCTAATTGCTGGAATTGAGGAGGCCAAGATCAATTGATATGGAGAGGATGAGACATATTTTCTGCTCACCCGTAACACTCAGCCCACAGCACTATCAGCCTGCACACGCAAAGACGAGGCTCAGGGCACTTGACTCCATCCCACAGCTGACTGAGTCCTTCCAAAGTCATACCCCTAGGTCAGCAAATACTCCTTCACTTTGGTTCTTGGCATATGTTCAACTTTATCTTAGTTTTTTCTTCAATATATTTAATAGTCCTTTTGTTAGCTTTTCCTTCCTTCAAGGTGAAATCAAGCATGTTGTTGAGTAGATTTATTCCATCATATTTCCTTGAAGTTCTTGTGGTATTTGGTTATTATACTGTTTGTTTACACACACACACACACACACACACACACAATCTTTATCACCCGGCTTCATTTTGCTCCTTTCAGTGTAATTACTGGTAGTGGGATTGGGTGGGGGGAATGAGACAACCTACAGGACTTGTTCTTGGACTGGGCTGTAAGGGTGAGGGTATGGTTGGGGGGGGTAGTGGAGGAGTCACGGATGGCTCCTAGGTGTCTGGATTTCTGCCTCTGTGACTGGGTAATGTTAGTGTAGGAGAAGACCAAGTTGGGGGTGGTAGTGGTTAGCAATCAGGGTCATCTGGACCTGGAAAACTCTGGGGCATTTTAGCTGTCTATAATCCTTAAACTCCCAGGAAGGCTTGAATTTCACAATAGACACAATCTCTCTCAATGCCAAAATGGAATTCTGCTGGAGGTAGCAGATGGCTCACTGTATATACCAACAGGGCATGGTAACCCTGGTCCTCTGTTTATAGTCTGGGCATTCTTCAAAGCATTTTGCCTCATTAATTGGCTATCCATTATCCAGAGACCAAAGTCAGACAAAGCTCATCACCTGGAACCCTTCATGCTCACACCATCCTGGAAGTACAGAGTTCACCCACAACTCCCTGCAGTTCTCTAAAAATATGCCCTTCACAGCAATGATAAGTTTCCATCTCTTGAGGCACCATTGAAATCTCTTGGAACCCCAGCCAAGTTTAGCCTAATGAATCACCTTGGCCCTTCAAAAGAACACAGTTCTTTAGAATTGAAGCTCTATTCAAGGTTGCCAGGAGAATGTGGGATAGACTTTATCTATTGTACTTTATGGATTTGGGGCTTCTTTTTGTCTATATTACAAGTTGACTTCATCCCTTCTGTTCACAGAACACTTGATTTAGCTTCCTTTTATCAAACTGTATCCATTTCCTGGTCCTGCCTTGCTTATGTTACACCTAAAGCTCCCTTGGCTGATATTTTGGGTGTTCTAACTTTTCAGCCACACATTTTGAATTTCTTGGTTTACTCCCACAGATGGCTGGTCACATCCATTGTGGATAAATTTAGTCTCTTAGAGAGGAATATGCCTCTTCTAAGTGAGCTTGTTATAATACTTGATATAATGGGAATGTACTGGTTTTCTGGACTGGAGGTATGCTTGGGGCAAACTTTTCACCCCACGTCACTCTACAGTGTGTTGTGGTTTTCCTTTGACCCCCATGAGGAAGCCCAGAGGTCACTCTACTCAGATGATGTAGGAACATGTCCATCCAACCCTGCCGCCTTCACACTGGCTGACACCACACTTTCTGTCAGCTGTCCCCAAATGGGATCTGCCTGCTGAACTTATGTACAGTAATTGTCCTTGCTTTGCTTATCTATTCCTGCTTCTAATATTTTTGGTTTCCTTGCTTCATCTCCCATTTCTGGCTCTGAAACTCCAGCTTTTATGTTATTAATCCTCTGTTCTTTTCCTTTTCTGGGTCTTCCCATCCCTGGCTCCATCGAGGCCTCTCCCACCCATTGAATCACTGTACCTTTGCCATCCTCTGCCTCCTGCTCCTGGTCGTCTTCTTCCTTCTCAGCTACAGTTTGAATAGACAAGTTTTGCCTACATCACAGTTTCGAGGAGGATTCTGACCTGTGTGAACATTAAAAACCAAAAGCTCAGGGCGCCTGGGTGGCTCAGTTTGTTAAGCTTCTCACACTTGATTTTGGCTGAGGTCATGATCTCAGGGTCCTGGGATGAAGCCCCATGTCAGACACCATGTTCAGTGGGTGGTGCATATATCTGCTTGAGGATTTTCTCGCACTCTCCCTCCACCCCTTCCCGGCTCTTCTCCCTCTATCCCCGCTCCCCACAACGCACACTCTCTTTAAAATAAAGAAATCTTTATTTTATTATGTTTAAAAGATTTTATTTATTTGTCAGAGAGACAGAACACAAGCAGGGATAGTGGTAGGCAGAGGGATAATCAGGCTCCCCTCTGAGCAGAGAGCCCAACAAGGGGCTCAATCCCAGGACTCTGGGATCTTGACCTCAGCCAAAGGCAGATGCTTAGAGGCACAATGCTTAGTGGATGTGACAGCTGTCCCTAAAATAAAGAAATCTTAAAAAAAAAAAAAAAGAATTAGTAGAGGTATTAGTAGAGAAATCCTGAAATTTACAAATATTTTCAAAAACATTAAGGCATTCAGGAACAATTGAACAATGGAGGTTCCTTTTCCTTGTTCACACCTACAATGTTGATGTTTTCTTAGGCTCCATCCTTCTCTACACACTTCCCTGGGCAGGCCACACTGACCTTTCAGCGGGTTTCTCAGCCGAGCCTACTTTCTCACCTGAAACATTCCTTCCTACCCTTCTACTTGCTTGAAGTCTCCACCCCCAGCTTTCCCCTCACCCGCGTCTGGGTAGGCCCCACGGCCTTTGCTTAGCCCACCCTGCTTAGCCCACCCAGGGAAGCAGCACCCGTCTGCCTGCCCTTCCATCAGTCTGTGCATTTCTGAGGGCAGGAACCACGCCTCAATCGCCCCTCTCCGCCTCTCTAGGGCCAGCCCTGCCCCGAGACTTCTGCAGGTGTCCCAAACCGAGTGTCTAGTAAATGAAAGGAGTAAAACCCCGTCCTGCGAAAGCACCGGCGTGGCTACAACAGGGGGACTAGAAGCCGGGCAAGAGCCCGGGCTGGGCGGGCTCCGGAGCGGGCGGCTGAGGCGGCCGGGGTCGCGCAGGAAGGCTTCTTAGAAGTGGCCTCGCTGGAGCCATTGGCTACAGCCCATCGCCCCCGCGAGGCGAGGCGGGAGAAGTCGCGCTAGCCCTTCGCCAGCCCCCGCCATTCGCTTCACACCCCGACAACCGAACAACCGCAGACGCCCGCCTCCGCGGCACTCTGGTTGCGCGCGGCGCTCTTGGCCCCGTCCGGCCACCGTTGCTCTCTATCCCGCCGCGCCCCGACCCGGAAGAGCATTCTCCTTAGCAACTGCGGGATCGCCGCGGCGCCAGCCTCTCGGGAGCAACGGTGAGGCCTCCCCGCCCCCGTCCCGCGCGCCTCACCTCGACCCCTTCCCTGGACCCGCCCCGGGTCTGGCCTGCGGGCTCTCCTACGTCCTTAGCGGGGCACGTGCGGCAGCGGCCCGGGGCGAGCGCCCTCCTTCTCCGGCGTCGTTGCCCTGCTCCGGCGTCGCCCCTGCCACCACAAGCCCCCAGCTTTCGGCCGACCCGGCCTGCCAGACTCGGCTCCTCGCGCCCGGCCCCGCCGGCCCTCCCTTGCAGCCTCCTTCGGGGCGCGGATAGGAAAACCAGAATTAAATAGAGCCTGTTGCTGTAGAGAGGATGATTCCAGAGGCTCAGGTCACCTGTGGGCGCGTTGTCCTGGGTCCTGATACAGATGTTTGGGACTAGCAGGGATGGAGCGTTTAAGGAGCCTTGAACGGCAGCCACTTAACTAGAATGCTTGATATTTGCCTGCTGCGTTGGGCTTTCCTAAGTGATGTATTTTATCTGCTTTTTTGATCGTGGAGACTCATGTAATTGGACATTTTAAACTGATCCTTTTCCGGAGATTATGTTCCCTGGTTTTTAGGGATGTGCCGTTAGTATTAAATGTAGCTTAGATTTTGTGTCTTCCAGTTTTCTACAGAAGGAACTCTGCCTGGAACTGATTAAGTTTGGGGACGATGTCAAGTGAAATTTGCTACGTTGAAGAAAGTAGGGGCAGGTGTTGTTACTATCTCTGATTTAATCTGAAAAGACACCATGACATTGAAAACCTCCCTTGATTGAGTTTGTAGGTGTGGTACTAAGAAAACTCTAAACCTTGTTTGAACATTGTTGGATAACGACTTTATATTTAATCTAATAATGGAGCTAAAACTGAGGCATATGAAAAACTTTCAGGAATGACCTTTGCAGGAGGTTTATTTATTCAATAAATCCATTATCCAACGCAGTATAATTTCATATCACTTCAGTAAGTATTTAATAAGTACCCAGAGTGTTAGACTATGTGAAAAGATATAAAATAAGAGTGTCTAGATTAAATTATTGGGAAAACTATAAAGTAGCGTTTGTTTAATTGCAAAATCAGAGGGAGGAGAGATGACTGTGGGCTGGAGTTTTCTGTGTTATGTTTATGGATTCTATCTCTAAAGTATAGATACAGTTTATATTGGCATTGGAGGGGACAGGGAATCCTAAATAGTTCCTTATGTTCTTAAGGGTTTGGGGAAATAGTTCAAAGTGACATTTTGTAGTTTCTGCTTAAAGCTCTATGGTTACTTGATTGCAGTATCCATTTCTTTCACTCTTAGTACACATCTGGCATTTTTCCTTTTTGAGATCTAAATGAATATGGCTTATATATAGTAGAGGGTTTTGCCACTTAAGAGATTCATTCCTTTGCTTCTGTAATGGTCTTTTATTTGAGTCATCACAGTTTTGAGTAGAGTTAGTTACTGGATCATATACTTAAGAGTCTTGTGAAATGTTGCTCTTTATTCATTTGACGGGTATTTCCAGAGGGTTCCTTATGTAGCAGGCATTGTAGCAAGAAATACCAAAACGAGTTGCCCAGCAAGTAGTAATTCTGCTTTATCTACTGTGTGTTTGTGTATTTTTGTATTTTACTTAACAGCCTTTGATGCTCAGTGTTTGCCTAGGGACATAGAAGGGCCAGAGAAGTGTATTTTGTTATTTTTCTTAAGAGTTGAATAGGGGTTTTAGGCTTAATTGCTTTGGACATCCTCTAAAGATTCATTAAAGAATCCTCTTAAGATGTTTCATTGCCTTCTTATGGGTTTGTTGCCCATTTATTCACTTGTTCAACAAATATTTGAGTGCTTATTGGGTACACTGTGTTGGGCCTTGGGAATGGGAGGCAGTGAATGCATCTCTGGCCCCTGTCTTCAGATGATACCAAATAATCACATGAACGTAAAACTACAACAGTGATACCATTTGATTTAGGGGAGTCCCTGGAAAGACATTTGAACTAAGATCTGAAGGTTGCATAGGAAAAGGAAGAGTGTTCCAGTGAGAGCAAACAGCAAGGGCAAAGATGATGGGGTTCATGGGAAGGATTGGGGACTTAGGGTACAGCTATATGTACAGAACAGGAAGAGTGTTGAAGAATCTGGTGGGAAAGGGGGCTGGAGAGGTATACTGGGCCTTGTAAGCAGGTTGAGGAGTTTTTCTTTATTTTTGGAGTAAAGAGAAGCCTCTATGCAGTTTTACTTAGATACTTAGGATGGATTGCAAATGCAGAGGACACAGATTGTGTTTAGTCTGCTTTGTATTTCTGCCGTTGCTTAGTTTTTGTATTGTCGTCTTCCTTATTTCCTTATATGTGCTCCCTCAGCTCTATTGTAGTTAGAAAAGCTTCCATGTCGTACCAGCGAGATGTGTCCACTTTTCTTTTTTTTTTTAATTGGGACAAAAGGAATTTTAGGGATTAGTATCAGACAGTAGAAGTTAGTTGATTTGAAATATTTTTATATCAGTATGACTGCTGGGCACTAACTTCTATGACTTTTTTTCTTTTTTTAGGATTTGTTTTATTTGAAAGAGAGAGTGCACATGGTGGGAAGGAGGGTTAGAGGGGAAGGGAGGGAGAGTCTTAAGTAGACTTGGCTGAGTGCAGAGCTAGAGGTGGGGCTCTGTCTCAGGACCCAGAGATCATGAACTTAGCTGAAACCAAGAGCTGGGCGTTTAACCAGCTATGCCACCGAGGTCTCCCTGTGATTGTTTCTTTTTAATTGTAGTAATAAAAACACATGATACAAAAGTTACCCTCTTAACCATTTTTAAGTGTTCAGTTCAGTGATGTTAACCATATTTACACTAGGACTTTTTTATCTTGCGAAACTAAAACTCTGGACCCATTGAACAACTCCCTGTTTCTGTCCCCTCCCCTACCCCCCTGCCCTGCCAGATTCTGGTGCATTTGAGTTTTCTTTTTTTTAAGATTTTATTTATTTATTTGACAGACAGAGCTCACAAGCAGGCGGAGAGGCAGGCAGAGAGAGAGGCGGAAGCAGGCTCCCTGCTGAGCAGAGAGCCTGATGCGGGGCTCCATCCCAGGACCCTGAGATCATGACCCGAGCTGAAGGCAGAGGCCCAACCTACTGAGCCACCCAGGCGCCTGGTGCATTTGGGTTTTATTGCTGTAAATGTTTTTTAAGAATCATATTTATTGCTGTAAATGTTTTTTAAGAATCATATTTGTGTCACATTCTGTAGTACTCATCTCAGAATGCCTTCAGACCATTTGATTTTGGGTATTGGGCTGGAAAGGATTTTGAGATGGCTTAATATTTTTAAGTACAAAAAAGTAGAACAGAGCATTTTCTTGGGTGGGGGAGGTTTGTAAACTTTTATTTATTTATTTAAAAGGCTTTGTTTTTATTTATTTGACAGAGACCACAAGTAGGCAGAGAGGCAGGCAGAGAGAGAGGAGGAAGCAGGCTGCCCACTGAGCAGAGAGCCCTACTCGGGGCTTGATCCCAAGACCCTGGGATCATGACCTGAGCCGAAGGCAGAGGCTTTAACCCACTGAGCCACCCAGGCCCCCCAATTTGTAAGCTTTTATTTGCAGTTTCCCAGTTTATCCTAGGCTTGGGATTCCTGTAGTGTTGCCGAACTAACCTTATAGAATCTAGTTTTTAGAATGTCCTTTGAACCTTCAGAAATTTTTTTCGTTTTATATGGGGAGTTGCTATGGGAAGTAAAGTTCATTTTCATTCAAATACTACTGAGCACATGCACAAGTCAGACTGTGAGTGGGCCTGGAATGGTTCCATAGATCCCTCTGAGGTCCTGCCATCTCTGCCATTACTGTTGATATAAGGGAGACAGCCAGAGTTCTTCTTGTCTTTATTAACTGGAGGATGGTGGAGCTGCATGAGATGCTCCTTTGTGTCACATTATGGGACAGAGAAGGATTTGACAAAGATTTTTCAGATAGCATTTTATTTGGAGCCATAGCAAGAACTTGATGCCCCACAGTTGTAATTATGCAATTAACTCTCACATTGAGGCTGGAAGTGGTCAGGTTTAATCAATTGTTAGTCCAGAGAAACTTATTTTTCTAGTTTCTTTTTTATTGTGGTAAAATTTATCATCTTAACCATTTTTTAAAAAAGATTTTACTTATTTATTTGACAGACAGAGATCACACTTAGGCAGAGGGGCAGGCAGGGGGCGGGGGGAAGCATGGGATCATGACCTGAGCCGAAGGCAGAGGCTTTAACCCACTGAGCCACCCAGGCGCTCCTCCATCTTAACCATTTTTAAGTGTATGGTTCAGTGATATTAAATACTTTCATAATGTGCAGACATCACTACCGTCCATCTCCTTTACTATTTTCCATTTTTTTTTTTTAAGATTTTATTTGACAGAGAGAGAGCAAGAAAGCACAAGCTGGGGGAGCTGCAGAGGGAAAGGGAGAAGCAGGCTCCCTGCTGAGCAGGGAGTCTGATGCAGGGCTTGACCCCAGGACCCTGGGATCATGACCTGAACCAAAGGCAGGTGCTTAACTGACTGAGCCACCCAGGCACCCAACAATCCACTACTTTTAATTCCTTTCTTACATCCTAATACAGCTACCTCTGAGATGCATTAATGTCAGCAGATAAGAGACAGTATTTACACTGGCAGGGAAGGCCTTTAATGGACACAAAGTACAGTGAAAATGTCGCTGATGACACCTGGGGCTGGTAAGGGCTGATGGAGGTACCTTGCCTTAGAAAATGCCTTCTAATTAGAAAGTAAGGAAGAGAATGGGGTTTATTATTTGTGGAGCCCTCTCCCCTCCTCTGTGTCAAATAATTGTGTCAAATAAATGTCATTTAATAGCAGTTGTTGTCCAATGAGAAAGACAGTTTGACTCTTGTACTGATAAGAGAATTAAGGCTCAGGGAGTACGTGTTAGGACCAAAGTATGCACCCAGGTCTGTTTGATTCCAGAGCCCATATTCCTTCCCCAGCACTGCGTCATGCTACTTCTCTGTATCAGGTTCTGA